CAAAATTTAGCCTAGGAAATCTACGTGTCCTTTAAGTCTTCTCCCCAGAGCCAGCTTTCTGGGCTTCAAGAATCCCCCTTTACTTTGAGAAATAACCAATCAATAAGATTGAATTATTATTATTATATTTTGAGACAGAGTCTCACACTTGCCCAGGAGAGAGTGCCATGGTGTCATCATAGCTTACAGTAACCTCAAACACCTGGCTCAAGCAATCCTGCCTCAGCCTCCTGAGTAGGTTGGACCACAGGCACATGCCACAACATCTGGATAATTTTCTTTCTTTCTTTTTTTATTTTTTGGAGACAGTCGGAAGCTGTCATCCTGAGTTGAGTGCCGTGCTGTCATAGCTCACAGGAACCTCCAACTCTTGGGCTCTAGCAATCCTCTTGCCTCAGTTTTTCTATTTTTAGTAGAGACGAGGTCTTGCTGTTTGCTCAGGCTGGACTCAAACTCCTGAGCTCAAGCAATCCATCTGCCTTGGCCTCCCAGAGTGGTAGGATTACAGATGTGAGCCACTGTGCCCACCCTGGCTAATTTATTCCATTTTTAGTAGAGGTAGGTTTCATAAACCATTGCTAAGAAGGAGAATGAAACTGAGTGGGAATGGTGGGGAATAAGGAAATAAAGTATATAAGAGACAAGAATGGGATTGTCAGGTCTGGAGCAGTCACAACTGCAGCCAGCACTGAACTGTGGAAACAGCTTTATTTATATAGTACCTAAACAAGGCCACTTGTCTTAACAAAGTTGCAAATCTAGCACATGGGGTAAACAGTAACTTTGGAGAGAAAAAGCTATGTGACTTCTGGCAGAGGAGAAATGCATGTTGTTATTCTAAAAGAATGTTGTTGCACAAGGAGAAGCAGCAGTTGGGGGTGGTTCCTTGAACATCTCCCTAGGCTGTGGGGGCCTTAGCACCCTCACAGCCCGTATTCCACATCTGGCGTCTTGCTCTTGTTTATACTTGGTCTCAAACTCCTGAGCTCAAGGATACCCCCACCTCACCTCCCAGAGGGATAAGATTACAGGTGTGAGCCACCATGCTGGCCAAGAGTGAATATTGATTCATGCATCCGGACCTGGTGTAGTGAGAAGAAATTGGCTTTAAACTCACAAAGAGCTAGAATCCAATCTCAACTTCTCCATGGGGCAGCTCTCTGACCTTCCTGAGCCAGTTTCTTCTCTGTACAATGAGGACGGTAAAACTTAGGTTGCAGAATTGCCACTGAGATATTTGTGGAAGTCCCACTTATACTTCTTAGCAATCTCTTTCTTTTGTGCGGTTAGTAGGAGCATTAAGGGAGAAAATAAATGTGAAAGGTTTTGTACCTTATAAAGGTCTGTCTACATGTTGAATTTTGCTAATAAAAATAATTTGTTAATTAATAATAAAAGCACAGGTGAGAGGAACAGTTAGATTTTTTTGGACAGACACCAAGACCACATTTCTAAAACAAACATTCAGGCCATCATGATGTGACAAGTCACAATGTATTTGTTGGAGGTAGAACACCTTATTTTTACTTTTTAACAGATTGGTTTATTTATTGAAAATGTGCTACTGAGCTCCTGACAACTCCATCAAGCTTATGTGGGAGGTAGAAGAACACTGGCCCTAGTATCAGACCTGGGTTCAGATTCCAGCTCGGGGGCAGAATACTTTATTTTTATATTTTTTATTTTTTATTTTTTTGAGACAGAGCCTCAAGCTATCCCCCTGGGTAGAATGCCATGGCATCACAGCTCACAGCAACCCCCAACTCCCGGGCTCAAGCAAGTCTCCTGCCTCAGCCTCCCAAGTAGCTGGGACCACAGGTGCCTGCCACAATGCCTGGCTATTTTTTGGTTGCAGCCATCATTGTTTTGGTGGGCCCGGCCTGGATTTGAACCCGCCACCTTAGGTGTATGTTGCTGTAAGGGTCTCATGGAAAAGCAATATCCCGAAGAATAAGCATGCTTATTGAAATCGTGTTTTAAATAAAGGTGACCATCTGCTCGCTCAGGCAAAATGGCGAGCTTCTTTATTTGCAGTTGGCTTATACAGGGAATTTTGTACATGAGAACAATGCAGCAATGACCTCATTGATCCATTTAAACAGTTTATGACCACCGCCCTGTAAGTAGCTCCTCCCTGGTAATCTGATAATCCACCCAACATACACCTTTAAGCATAATCCTTTCAATATAACCGGTTTAGCATAATTTAATGAAGAACATGTTGTCAGTTATTACTTTCTTTGTTCTTATCTGATGAAGCCTAAGGCTACGGGGAAAGAGACGATTTAGGTGTTTCACCTATAGGTGTATGTGGCTGGCACCTTAGCCACTTGAGCCACAGGTGCCAAGCTGGACAGAATACTTTAAATATAAATTATCCCATATAATTTTAGATGCAGGCTCAGAGCCTGTAGCTCAGCAGCTAGGGTGCCAGCCACATACACTGGAGCTGGCAGGTTGGAATCCAGCCCGGGTCTGCCAATCAATAATGGCAACTATAACCCAAAAATGGCTGAGCGTTGTGGTGAGCACCTGTAGTCCCAGTTACTTGGGAGGCTGGGGCAAGAGAATCACGTAAGCCCAAGAGTTTGAGGTTGTTATGAGCTGTGACGCTGATACTGGAAAAGTGGCGCCTCAGCCAGCTCAGCTGAGCAGGGCCTTGGGGATCTGCCACCTCTGTCTTGGTGGCAGCAGCCCGCAGAGGAACTGGCAGGTTGGAGCAAGCGGTGGGGAGCTTCCCTCCCCCACCGGAGGCTCCAGTAACAAAAAAGACCAGCCAATCAGGGGAAAACACCAGCGATTCTTTCAGTGCATCCCTGATTGGACCATTTTCAATCCTGCTCCTGACTGGTCTATTTTATAGACCAATCAGCTAAGCTCTCAGCTCATTGGACTACTACCCCTATATAAACCCCTGAGCAGAGAGCCTAGGGGTACATCATCCCCTGAGCAGAGAGCCTAGTTGCAGGTCCTGGCAGATCATGGCAGATCATCGCAGATCCAGATCGTCCAGAAAGATAGAGCAGAAGAACAAGGCCAGCGGACTGTTGCAGACCTCTGAGGAAGAAAGAGTGAGAGCTGTGGCACTTCTATTGTTGATCCTCCTCTGCAAAGAGGCTTGGTTCTTTGTAAGAGCTGTAGCACTTCTACTGCTGATCCTGCTTTACAAAGAGGCTTGGCTCTTTGTAAGAGCTGTAAATAAAACCTCACTTACTGTTCATCCTATGGTCCGTCGACTCATTCATCGAATCATTGAGACCAATAGCCTGGAAATCCAGTGTTAAAAATCTGGTATCGGCTCGGCGCCAGCCACGTACACCTAAGGTGGCGGGTTCGAATCCAGCCCAGGCCCGCCAAACAACAATAATGGCTGCAACCAAAAAATAGCCAGGCATTGTGGCGGGTGCCTGTGGTCCCAGCTACTTGGGAGGCGGAAGCAGGAGACTCGCTTGAGCCCAGGAGTTGGAGGTTGCTGTGAGCAGTGATGTCAACTCTCTCTACCCAGGGGGATAGCTTGAGGCTCTGTCTCAAAAAAAAAAAAAAAAGTCTGGTATCAACGCCACGGCACTCTACCCAGGGTGATATAGTGAGACTGTCTCATAGAAAAATTTTTTTTAGATGCATAGTCTCCTTACACTCAAATAACCATCCTTACTCCAGTGATCTTGAAGATCTATAGTGCTCATCACCACCACCGGGTATGTTTCAATTCTGTTTCCAATGGGAAGAAATAACAAACATAGTCCCTCTCAGTTTGACCTCTGGTGTTCTGAGTTTGGTCACTGCTGTTTCCATTTGAGGACCCACATATCTCAGTAGCACTGAAAGTATCTACTCTAAACCAGAATAATTTATATCTACTCTAAACTTGAAAACCATACTTCCTAATATTTTGCTGCTGTGCTAGTTGGTAAAGGAAAAAACATTGAAAAACATTGCAGCCCATAGAAGAGAAATAAGCCTGGAGGAAATGTCCTAATTGCCAATTGGTTTCTGTTCATCTGAGTCTCTATTGGAGATGTATGAAGCTTACTTACTAAGAATAATGAACAAGCCTGCTTTCTGTAAGATCCCTAAACTGACTGACACCTGCGAGTGCCTCCAAGTGGCAGATTTGCCTTGAAGGCCTTTTCCTGTGGCTTTTGCTTTTTGAACCCTGTCTGTTAGGCTTAGGTTTGTATGGTTAGGGCGCCAGTCACAGGCACCGGGGCTGGTGGGTTCGAACTCGTCTCGGCCCTGCTCAACATCAATGACAACTACAACAACAAAAAAATAGCCGTAGTTGTGGCAGGCGCCTGTAGTCCCAGCTACTTGGGAGGCTGAGGCAAGATAATTGCTTAAGCCCAAGAGATTGAGGGTGCTGTGAGCTGTGACCCGATAGCACTCTATCCAGGGTGATATAGTGAGACGCTGTCTCCCTTTCCTTGGTTTTTACAGTAACCCTTTAAAAAGCATTATTATGTGCCTGTAGTACCAGCTGCTTGGGAGGATGAAGCAAGAGGATCTATGAGGGTGCTGAGGTATGACGTCACGGCACTCCACCAAGGCGACAAAGTGAGACTCTGTCTCAAAAAAAGTGTTATTATGCAGATAAAGAAACCGTGGCTCATCAGTGAAGTAACTATCAAGGTAAAACTCTTGGCACTTCAATAGTCCTTCTTTAGGCGGAAAGATTAAAGAGTGGGATCCTGGGATGATTACATGCAAAGATGTACCTGAAAACTCCTGCGAAATATTACGCAAATATCCATCAGGAAGAAGGAAGTCCTTTCCCCCTCTCTCCGCCCCTCGGAGACTGTGCGGGGTTGGGGGGGAGAGGACACCTCCTCGGCTAGGCGAGGGGCTCACCTGGGCCGCAGACTAACCGAGTAACCGCCGGGCAGAATGTCCTAGGCGGGGCCGCAGGAGGCCCCAACAACGCTTTGGGGTCCCTTAACCCCAGCGGGACTTCGGCGCGGCCCCGCCCCTCCTGTGGCCCCGCCCCGCCCCCGACGCCTTCCGCCCCGCCCCGCCCCGTGGCCCTTGAACCTCCGCCCCGAGCCACGCACACCCAATGCTTCCCAGAGCCAGCCGTTCCGTGTTGTCCACTCTTCTCTGCACTCTTCGGGCTGCCCCTGTCGCCGCCATGAGCACTGGCACCTTCGTTGTGTCGCAGCCGCTCAATTATCGCGGCGGGGCCCGTGTGGAGCCTGTGGACTCCTCCGGCACGGAGAAGGCGTTTGAACCGGCAACCGGTAACCGCGCGGAGAGGGCTGCGGGGGCGCGGCGGGCCGGGGGCGCGCACGCACTCCGGGCCGCAGCGGCGCGCGGGTTTTACTGCCAGCCTTGGTTTCGTGCGCTCCGCAAAGGTTTACTGAGCACAGAGAGAGTGGAGACTGTAAAGACGTGTGTGCGGGCAGCTCGCGGTTCTGTGGAAACTGGAGCGCATCTGGGCAAGGACGGGAAGGGAGGAAAAGGAAGAGGTGGTGGTGGGGTCGTGAGAATTTTGCAGCAGCCAGGAGAGTCCACAAGGTCCCAGAGCGTGAACTTGCGCCTCAGTTTATTAATCTTTAAGGCCAGGACTGTTGGGATGGGATGTCTTCAACTGTGTGCTTAGGAGAGGATATCCAGAAGAACGCTGGTGGTGGGGAATGGGGGGAGTAAGAATAAGGACTGCATCACCATCTTCTAGTATTGAACTATTTCTGTCCTAGAACTTAGAATTGGGAAAAGAAAAAAAAATCCTTTATCAAGTACTCCTCCCACCCAGGTTTATCGAAGTGCAATTGACTTAAAATTCCATATACTTAAGACAAAAACTGTGATGTTTTAATATAGGTGTACATTGCGAAATGGTTAATTTACCACAATCAGGCTGATCAACATAACCAGTACCTCTGCATAGTTACCACTTCTTTTGGTAGAGAGGACGTGTAAGATTTACTGTCTTCGCAGATTTCAAGTATATGATAACAAATTGATTAACTTTTATCTACAGTTTTCTCCTCCTGACTGGCCCAAACTTTTTAATCTAGTGTTTAATCTGTGTCAAGCATTGTGTTGGGCAGTGCATTTATTCTGGGAATTTGGAAGATCACCAAGCTAAGAAGGAAGAGGCTTTTTATTTGTTTCTTTGCTTTTTTGCTTTGTGTTTGTTTCGCTGGGTCTTTTTATGGACTATTTGTGGGGAGAAAAATGTAAATATTTTGTGCAAAATGTAACCAGAGCAATAAAACTGGATTGCAAGGGACCAGAGAATTCAAGATTGACCATCTACACTAAGCCACAGAACAGTGACAAGTCAGAACTGTAAGGGGCCACATGATCACAGCTCTCCATACATATGAAGAAAGAGCTTTTCTGCCCCTCACCCAATATTATTATAAAAGAAAGCAAAATGGCTCTTTATTTTAATTACCTACAATGTAAGTGATCTGTAGTAACTGCCATTATTAACTGGCTATTTATGTTTGTAACAGAAATTACAGATTTGTGAAATTTCCTAGGAAAAAGCGGAAACTTTTAACAAGAACTTTCACAAGTTCTTCACAAGTTCTTTCACAAGAACTTCCCAGGAGTTCTTGTGAACAGGAACTGCCTATTTGGCATACTTAAAAGAATTCTCATTGGCAGCATCAGTACTACCCTTGGGATATGAGTCTAGAAGAATTGACTGTTTTATATTTGGCTCCAAAATAGGGACGGCAGGGAATATAAAGTTGGAGTAGGAAAAGGAGAGCCTGGAATTTTTTCATTAGAGGAAAACATTTTTCTTGCTTTTAGGGAGATCATTAACCATATTTATCAAGTATCAGTAGTATGATATAAAAACACGGACAAGGGATTTGCCTGCGTTAAAATCATGGTTCATGACCCAGGAGAGTAGTTACTTTTCACTTTGATTTTTGTAACACCCCAGAGCTCTGTGGCAGTGTTAAGGGGTGTTGTAAAATGATTTATAGGAAGTTAATGTTAGTAAACCCAACTATAAAATGGTGGAAGGCAAGGATTCTTAACCCTTAATCCTGGTGAGTTTAGGGGACAGCTCTGTAATTCTGTGATGTGGCTAAGTACATTTTTCTAGAGACAGTTCTGCAACTTTTATCAGACTCCTAAAAGGGGTCAGTAATCACAAATTTTAGTTAAGAACTGCTTAACTATAGAGGGGGTCACTAAATCAAACCATACTTAAAAACAGAATGGGATACGTAAGAAAATATTGATGGATTTATTTTATTTTAAAGTATGGCAGCAATTTGAGCTAAAACTGACCTCTTCCTTCTTTACAGGCCGTGTGATAGCTACTTTCACATGTTCAGGAGAAAAGGAAGTAGATTTGGCTGTTCAGAATGCAAAAGCTGCTTTTAAAATATGGAGTAAAAAATCTGGCATGGAGCGTTGCCGAATCCTTTTGGAGGCTGCCAGGATAATAAGGGTAGGTTTTAATTTATTTCCTTCCAGAAAACTCCTCATACATTGCCATAGCTCCAAGAGTTCTTTGTGATGATTTGCAGTTAGGCTTTGATGCTGAGTTAGGTCAGTACATTTTTATGAAATAGAAAAACATTTCCACGTGCTCACCTTGGGATATAAAACAAGCTTTCATTCAGTAATTCCTGTCTGGATCTTGGCTCTTGAATATCTCCCTGGGCAGGTTTTCTTTTCTTTGTTTTGAGTTATAATGTGCTTTTTTTAAAAAAAAAAAAAGTTGGGGAACTGGTTCCATTTTCCCCCCCCCAACGAAGAACCCCAAAGAAAACCTTCCTTTTTAAAATTGGTTTCCGAAAAAAGTTCAGGTATGTTACCTTAATTGCCTGGGAAGATTTCATAAATTCATAGATGTACCTTTAAAAGAAAAGGTAATCAGAAGTACTAGATGCTCATTACAGAAAGTTAAAAAATTCAGAAGAATATAGTACATCAAAATCTGAATCATGGCTTGGCGCCTGTGGCTCAAGTGGCTAAGGCGCCAGCCACATACACTTAAGGTGGCGGGTTCAAATCCAGTCTCGGCCCGCCAAACAACGACAGCTGCAACCAAAAAATAGCCAGGTGTTGTGGTGGGCACCTGTGGTCCCAGCTACTTGGGAGACTGAGGCAGGAGACTTGCTTGAGCCCAGGAGTTGGAGGTTGCTATGAGCTGTGATGCCACGGTACTCTCCCCAGGGGGAAAGCTTGAGGCTCTGTCT